TTATGGGACTGTGTGGGAACTGTGCTGGAGCAGTTCATGAAGAACTGCAGCCCATGGGAAGCACTCACACTGGAGAAGTTAGTGAAGGAGTCTCTCATGGGAAGGACCCCATGCTGGAGCAGGGGAAGAGTGTGAGGAGTTCTCGCCAGAGGAGGAAAGAGCAACAGAGACATGGGATGACATTGACCACAACCCCCATTCCCCATCACCCTGTGCAGCTCAGCAGGGAGGAGGGAGAAAATATCATGAGTGAGACTGAACCCAGGAAGAAGGAGGAGTGAGGGGAAGGTGTTCTATGATTTGTTTTAACTTCTCATTATCCTGCTGTTATCGGACAATTCATTAAATGAATTTCTTTAAGTCAAGTCTCATTTGCCTGTGACAGTAACCGATGAATGGTCTCTCCCTCTCCTTGTCTCAACTCACAAGCCTTTCAATGTATTTTCTCTCCCCTGTCCAGCTGAGGACAGGAGTGACAGAGTGGCTTTGGTGAGCACCTGGTGTCTAGCAAAGGTCACCCCACCACAGTAACACAAATACAAGGGCTGAACACATGTATAGCTTTATTTAAGAATTAAATCATTTTCTATAGATAGATGAATTTTTCAAAGTGTTGACACCTTAGTTTATGTTCTCCAGACCCTGAAAAAGAAAAAATAACAGCTATATTTATGTCATTCTTGCCACTAATGTGCAATAGGGCATATCTGAAAATTCAGATTTTCAAACTATATTTAATTACCCAGGTTTTAATTAGAACAAAATGAAAATGCACATGCCCAGAGGCAGGCAAGCTGCAGGCACCGAGTGAGATCTGACAAGAGCGACCAGCGCCCATCTCAGCGGCCATGCCAGAGCTCGGGGATGGGGGAGCAGCCCCAGGGCCCCGCTCCCCCCGCGGTACCTGCCCAGCGCCCCAGACCTGCCTTGGACACGTAGTGCTTGTTGACACCCGACAGCCTCCGGTCCCTTTCCAGCAGCGTCCACTCGTAGGGATAGCGGGCGATCCTCTTCTCCTGCAGGCACAGAACTTCCCGTTGAGGGTCGGGCAGGGGCTCCCGAGGGAAGGCGGGGTAAGGGATCCCACAGGGCTGCAGGGACTGGGGGATCAGGGTGGCCCCGGAGGGGAAGCGGAGCCCCAGGGTCCCCGATCCCGGGACGGGCCGCCCCGCCCCACGCTGACCTTGCCGCCGTTACACAAGCGGTGCATGAAGATGGTGGCCATGCCGGGGATGGTGAGGCAGACGCCCATGATGGCCATGCCGGGCAGGATCTCGTACCACATCCCGCCGCTGTCGGTGTCGGTGCCGCTGCCCCTCGCCGAGTGCCGGGGCACTCCCGGCCTGCCCCGCGCCCTTCCCGGCCTGCCCCGCGCCCCCCCACACCCTAGCGGGCCCGAGAGGGCAGCGGGAGCGACGGCACTGCCCGGGAGCAGTCCCTGGCAATAAGTGAGGCCGTGTTCGTGTCCCGGTTCGCTCTCGGTCCCAGTCGCGGGCGGCTGACCCCGCCGGTACCAGCGGCGGCGGGCGCGGTGCACGCTGGGAGTGGTAGTCCGGCGAACGCAGCGGCGCCTTTAAGGCGCAGTCTCGCGAGAGACGGCGGTGACTGGGTGCGCGCGGCGCAGCCCGGGCCGGAGTCAGGATCGGGATCGGGATCGGGATGAAGGAGGACAAGGAGAACGCCAGGCCCAAGGAGCGGCGCGGGGCCTCCGCCGGGCCGAGCGTTCTGCTGCCCGCGGGACCGGGCTCGGGCCCCGCTGCCGGCACGGACGGCAGAGCCGGCACGGCCGAGCTCGATCGCCTGGAGCGGCCCAAGGACAAGAAGGAGACGCTCAGCAAGGTGGGGCCTGCGCGCTGCCGGGAACGGCGCCCTCCCCGGTAACGGGGCTCACCCTCTGTAACGGGCCCCTCCTCCCTCTGTAACGGGACCTTGCCCCGCTAACGGGCCGCTTGCGGGGACCTCCTGGGACGGGACGTGTCGGGGAGGCGCGGTAATGACTCGTCCCGGGCGCTGCCGCCGCCCTGAGCGCCGCTCCTGCCGTGCCGCAGGTGGTGATCCGCCGGCTGCCGCCCAGCCTGACGAAGGAGCAGCTGGAGGAGCACCTGCAGCCTCTGCCCGAGCACGACTACTTCGAGTTCTTCGCCAACGACTCCAGGTACGGCCGCCTGCCCGGTCCGGGCGCTGCCGAGAGCCGCCGCTACCGCCAGCCGGGCCGCAGTGGCGCCGCCGCCTCGTCAGCGCAGCGCTCTCGGTTTGTGTCTCTGCAGCTTGTACCCGCACATGTTCTCCAGAGCCTACATCAACTTCAAGAACCAGGAGGACATCGTCCTCTTCAGGGATCGCTTCGACGGCTACGTTTTTGTCGATCACAAAGGTAAGTGAACGGCTCTCGATGGATGCTGCTGCTTCCCTGCTGTCTGTGCTGTGCGCTGCCTGAGTTTTGGAGGGGTGGGTGTGAGCAGCCACAGTCTGACTTGTTTGGGTTTAGTGCCTCCAAAACAGTTCCACTACCTCTAGAAATACGTGCATACATAGATCTGATAACATCTAAGTCCTTTAAATGAGCTGGTTTGCAGTGTAACAGCACACATTCATGCAGCCATAAATGTAGTGTTCTTGTCAGAAGATAAAGTTTTAAAGCCTGCTTGTAATATGTTGCATTGTACTATACTTTGTCAAAAATTGAGATTTGCCTCAGTTGTATTAACTTAAAATATTCTTTCTTGCACAATGAATGTAGAGGCTGTAGGATGAGGCCATTACATGGTGTGGTGCTGCTGAGGTGTGGAACTGACAGTCATGGGCAGTCTTAAATCTAGTATGTCCTTCTTGTCAGCCTGTGAGTTTGCTGGTTTATTAGTATAGTGACAGTGTTAAGGTAATGAATTCTGCTCTCTGTAGAGTGGTTTATTTTTTTATTAAATGGTTTTCTAAATACAATAATGTTTTTATGCTGTGTAAGTAGTCTCTTCTAGTATTGCATATTTCTTGTGAGACTTACCTTTCTGCTTTAGATATGGACAATATAATCCAATTTATATCTGTTTCATCTTTATTTTAATGTATTTTTTTCTCTCAACAGGTCAGGAATATGCTGCCATAGTTGAGTTTGCACCTTTCCAAAAAGCTGCAAAAAAGAAGAGTAAGAAAAAGGATGCCAAAACTGGAACTATTGAAGATGGTATAACAGCAAGCTAGTTTGTTTTTGCATGTGTAGACTTGTAACTCTTAGCAGTAATTTAAATGTAATGTTTTAGTGTGACACTATAGTTCCACCAATAGAATGTTTGCTTAATTATATGTGAAGTTTTTGAGCACTGCTTTGTCAACTAGAAATCTATTAAATATGATTGTCCCAAACAAACATAATACAGCAGCTCATTTGAGCTGCTAACTTATGCAAAGGTGGCATATAAACAGCCCAGCTGAAGTAAATGTAACTGAGCAGTGCATCATGTAAATACTTTTCATGCTACAGTATCTCTTCTTCTTTTCCCCTCCCCTTTTTTCCCTTCTCTTCTGTGTAGATCCAGAATACAAGAAGTTTTTGGAAAGTTACAGTGCAGATGATGAAAAATTAACCTCCACTCCTGAAACTTTGTTGGAGGAAATAGAGGCAAGAAACAAAGAGCTAATAGGTATGGAAATCTATGTACTATAGTTACATTTTCCTAGATCACAAAGAAACAAATATGTTTTGTAATTTGAAGCTCAGCCTGGAGGAGACTGAATTCTTTTGTGTGCCTGCTTACTATTTGTTAAACATTTAGGCTAGTATTATTGTGTATTTTGTTTTGTTCCCATGCTCTAAATTCTTCTGTAGGCACAGGGTTTAGATGACAAAGTTCCTTCCTGTTGCAG